GATGACGTTGATCTTTTGGAGATTCATGACGACATATCCTTGAATGTTTCAGCTGTGCAGAGGCAGTAAAATTGGAGCTTTTCTCGGCCAAATTGGCCTTAGTCACATGTATAAAGTTTACTCTACTCAATGAGACCTACAATTTTACAAAATTTGGTAATTTTTAGAAATAGTTGATTTTTCTAGCAAGTATTGGCGGCGCGTGGCCGGGGGACCGTCGATGCTACTTTTAGGCTAAATTAGATGTCTTGAATTCAGTTTTGATATTCGTAAAACGTAGGTTGATCGTTGAACCTAAATTCATTACGATACGTTACTTGGGAAAAATGTGAATCGACGATCCGACCGTTGGATCGTCACCAAACTTTAATATGTTATAGTACATAATATTTGAGGATCATAGAAACTTACGGATTAGGAATCCGATGCACGGATCTTCCCGAATTGGATTTGTAAGTTGATAAAATAAAACGTTAACCGCTACTTGAATTTGCAATTGGCGGAGATCCAACCGTTGGATCGTAATGCAACTTTAAGATGTTGTTCTAGAAGCATATTATGTATCTTTGAAAGTAACAGATCGGAAATCCGTGATGCGGATTTTCCAGATCGAATCGTAGGTATGTTTTAGGTAAATTATGTATTCTATCGATAAGAATTCTGAGATGTGGTTTGATAATTGTTCTAGGTGCCGATCGTTCATGACGCCTCTATGTGTGTGCTAGGGAGTTGTAGTGTGAACTCCATGTGACTGGGCCTTTGGTTTTCAGTATATAAATATGTACTTGTCTTTTTCCCAGAAAACTTATTTAAATGGTTTTATATTTTCAAATGCCATGTCAAATGCTCTCTATGTTTGATTATGCATTAGTATGGTTATATATATGGTTGCTTGATGCTCAGGTAAGCTTCAGGTGAGTATATGTTGATGGTAGTGAGTATGATTGTGTTAAGATGCATTTATAGCTCATTATCTTGCACCCCGGTGTTAGTGGTCCGTCCGAGGAACGGGCCTAGCCTTCACGTGATCATTCACCACCCGCACCACACGCTCACCTTGGATCTAAGGCAGGTGCCAGCCTGTCATACATACCACATTAAGTGGTTCCGACTCGTAGGTAACTTGCGATACTTCACACAACCTTTACGTGATCGTAGCACTTGAGCGTATTTATTTACACCCAGCCTGTCGTACAAACCACTTTAGGTGGTTCCGACTTGTGTGCAGGGAACTAGTAGAGGAGCTATAGGCTTAGCCCTACAAGTCACGTTAGGTGACTCCGGCTGACATACCATCTTTTATTGATTTATTTCACCTGGCTTACTTATTTCTTTGCTAAGATATTTGGCATGGCATATTTATAGATTTGCTATTTTGAGTATGGTTTTGAGATAGATATGCATGCTATTTTATGGGAAATCATACAGGTTTTACGGCGAGGGGTTATTATCTTTGATAAGTGAAACGGTTTTAAAAATCTTTGTTTTTGCCCACTCACGTTTTCTGTTTTGCGCCCCTCCAGGTTCTAGTAGCAAAGTTTATGTTTCGACAAGGATTATTGGCATATCCAAGTACAGGTGGCTTCCTATGATGGTATAAGCCTTATCTTACGTTACTATACTTTACTTATGCTCTGTAATCACGTGTAAAATGGGTCCATACCTGTTCACCGCGCACTCGTGTACTTAGGCACTTTTAGGTTTAAATTTATTCACGTTTTCCACATCACCATACTTTATGGCTTCATAACCTTCCAGGTGTCGGTTAGCACAGCTCGATTCGAGGTCCTAGTGAACATTTCGGGTCGGGGTGTGTCAGGCCCCTAAGGGGGGTGGATTGTGACATCCCACATCGCCCATGGAAGTGGATCCTGTAAGCCTTATATGTATATTCCCATCTCTACCTAGCACGAGGCCTTTTTGGAGCTCACTAGTGATAGGAGCATATTTATGCGCCTTAGTTAGCTAGTTCTTATGCATTTTCGTTATGTTTTCTTCGTTAAAGTAGTCTTTTAAGCTACTTTCATGTGTTTTCAGGTTTAAAGGACATATTACATGAAATGATGCAATTTGGAGCTTTTGGAGCAAAAAGTGAGCTTGGATTGAAAAGGACATGCTTGGAACACAAGGTTGGGATGAAATTGAAGAGTTGAAGATTTGAGGTTTCCTACTTGAAGTAGGAAAGCTAAGCCTAAAAGTTTCCATTTTGGGTTGATCTTTCCTAAATCGGAATTGGCAACCAAAGTTTCTAAAAGTTGGAAGTTTCTATTCTTGGAGGTTTCCATTTTCGTGAGTTTCTATTCTTGGCTTTGGGCTTTTAGATGACTTAAACCCTAATTCCTTGTGGACCCTAAGCCCATGCCGCATCCTAGGGCCTAATCACTGAAATTCTGCCATGATTAAACCCTAATCCATCTCTCCTAAGCCCATGCCGCACCTAACCCTAGCCCAATCTGATTTCATTAGGGTTTTAGGTGCCTATATATATGTGTTCTACACGTAGCCGCACCATTAACCTCCCATTCTAAAAATCAGAAATCGTCCATCACCCTAATCCACCTTGCCGCAGCCACCATCATTCATTCCAGCCAATTCCCATCCTTGCCGCAGCCTTCATCCACCTCCATACACCATTCTACACCTCTAGCCACCATCCTACACCTCCATACACCATCCCCACTCCTTGCCGCACCACCATACCATCCTAATTCCCTTCTCAACCCAAAACCACATCCAAAAACACCCAAAACACTCTCTGCCGCAGCAAGGAGAAGAAGAAAGAGGAGCTTGAAGTCAGAAATTCAAAGTGGAATTCTTGGGCGTTTTAGGTGTAATCTTTCTTATGTCTTCGATGTTTCAATTCAATAAACTTTATGTTGTGAGTATGAGGAACTAAACCCCCTTAGTTGGGGGGTAATTCGAAACCATGTACATGCTTGCAATATGATTTGATTATATTCAGTTGTTATTTCATAAGTTGTGAATTCAATTCGTTCATCTATTTGATTGATAACTTATTTGTGTATGTTGATTGAGAGTGCACGCTTAGTTTTCATGCATAAATATGATGCTAGATTATGAGGGAGTTTCACCTAATAGTTACAATCTTATAATCACAAGTAGTGAAGATCGCTTGAAAACGATCGCGTTGAATGAATTCTTAGCATAAGTTTCATGCAATTCATAGTAACAAATGCTTCGTCAATGCTTATGTTTTTCATAGAACGTAATGATTCTTGCTTGTATCTCTATTATGCAATTCATGTAGGGAACTTGTAGGGAATGTTTTGGGTTGTCGTATGCAATCATCCAACTTAATAACTTGTGGAAAAACTTAGGGTTAATTAGTGCAATTCACGGTTAATTTGGGGCGTTGAGTATTCATAATTCATTGGAAGAACAACTGAAAATCGTTTTGTTTGCAAGTGTGACATGTGTGGAGAAGAACCTCCTAACTAGCCTTTTACCCATCTATTTCACCAAAATCGTTTTTACAATCTGCCCTATTTCCAATCTGTTTTCTTTAGTTTAATTTTCGTCAAAACAAAATCCCCCTTTAATTTGAAGTCTTAGATTAGTTAGAAAGTGTTTTGATTTGTGTTTCTAAGTATTTTGATTCAAGTTTTCATCAAATTTCGTCCAAATTAGTGTAGGTGCTCAAAACTGCCCAGAAAGTGGTTTTTAGGCAGTTTTGAGCCTTCTAGTTGCTGTTTTGGTTTTTAGGTTTGTTTAAGTGTTTTAACTTTTAGTTTTGCATTCTTTGAGTCTAGTTTAGTGTTTTTAACTTTGTTTTTGAGTGTTTAAGTCAGTTTCCAAGCGTTTAGCAATCCCTCCTAATCCCCGGTCTAGAACGATCCCTACTTACATCTTTGCTACAATTTGACAAAAAGAGGGTTTAATTTGTGTGTCAAGTTAATTTTCACATCAACTAGTTTCGGGTTCCATCAGAATTTCGAAGTTAAGCGAGTTCGCACGAGAGCAATCCCATGATGGGTAACCCACTGGAAAGTTCTCGTGTGAGTTCCCAGAAACAAAACCGTGAGGGCGTGGTCGGGGCCCAAAGCGGACAATATCGTGCTACGACGGAGTTGAGCCCGGGATATGGTGGGGGCCCGGGCCGGGATGTGACACTCTGTCTTCGAGAGTTCCTCTTCCTTCTTCTCTAGAGTGATAAAGCATTTTTTTGCCTATATCCTAGAGTTCATGTGACCGGAATATCATCTTCATTCTGATTTGCTAGAAATCGAATTTTCTCCATTGAACACTGGTGCTCAAATATCAGCACCACTTGATCCAGCCATATGAGACTTGTTATAGAGTTTCTCAGAGATTTCTCCCTTCAAATTTGCAGCAACAAAGCTTGATGCAGCTCGAGTTCTTCGTTACACAGATTCATGCTCGGTTTTCAAATGATTGAACCTGGCTCTGAGGCGATGTTAGAATGTATTTTCAAGCTGTGTTTATCAATGGAGATTATTGTGACCTGAGAATTTACTTCAACAGAATAATCACAAGATTTCCAGAAGAATATTTTGGAGAGAAATTTCACAAAGAAAATGGAATGTTTCTTGGATTCGATACTCTCACAAAGTGTGAGGAATAATATTATTGTTAGAGAGTGAGGAATAATATCACTCACTCATACATCATTACAAACTCATCTCAGCCATTCATCCTTAACTAATTACATAAGATGCTTACACTTATCATGAGCTATGACTTACTACAATCTAATCTAAGATGCCATCTATGAACTAATGGCTCAAATTAAACCATCTCGTAAATCAGCAAATACATTTATAATTCAACATAAGTAGCTTCCATCGCCAAATTTTCTACACACTTTATTGGAAAAAATAGGAAAAATAGGAAACGGAACACCAAGTAAAGAGAATGCTACTTATTATTGATATTAAAAAAATGAGAAACAATTTTATTCTTTCTTTACACTTAAATAGAAATTGAATGAACAAAAGAATAATTAGCCTACTCTTGCTCCCATATGATGATGGTGATCAGTAGTGAAATTTCACCTTATAATAGAATTTTATCTTTTGTGCATCTTTGTTCTAGACATGGATGTTGACCCTTCCATGCGTATTCACGAAGACAATAAAATGAAATGAAAGAACCTACTTAAGTCAATTGCAAAATAAAAGAGAGTAAATTAAACCATGAAAACATGCTCCTTTAAGTGGTGAAGTCACACTGGAACATGGGTGTCATGAATGAATTGAGCTCACTGAAAATAACGTCGTCTCCCTCAGCGTAGCTGCTAGAATCTTGGCAGTCAAAGTAAGTTTGTATGTCATCGGGAAATGTGCACTGTGGTGTGCTCAACTCCGGCTGCGATGACAAATCGGTGGCTGTTGTCATTTCCATCATCTCCTTGAACTTTGACGACTGAAGAAGGAGCCCTAGGGCTGATGTGGCAGTGGTTGGTCTAGGCTGAGCCGTGGTCATGGTTTCCGCCGGACTATATGCAAGGTTGTGAAAGAAGCTAAGCCCACGATCATGATCGATAGGGTTTCGGGCGACATTGGGCAATTTAGCCTCAATAGTAGTGTTAGGCTGACCGGAATTTTCGCTGTTGTTAGGACCATTAGGTTTTAGCCATTTGATGTAACGGCTGAGGTCAAAGTTTGTGACGGCATTGAGCCCACGGTACTCTATAGCCGCCATATCATATGCTGTTGCGGCTTCTTCTTGGGTAGCTGGGGTAACATTTATGATACAAGGCCAATGTTAGATTTGATCATACTAATCAACTTTTAATGCTAGTGTTATTCATGTTTAGTTTCGTGTATGTAAGTCTCAATAAAAAAGAAAGTTCTTATGTAATTAAGTAGAACGCTCTTCTATTGGAGGAGAGTATTAATCATTAAGTCATTGGTGCATGACACTCTTTTTCCCTTTGATCGGGTTGGAATTCTGACAAAATTTTTATCAAGGCCCATTACTAGCACCCTATCCTCTAGTTGTACGTATTTCCCTTATTCAATGGATATCGTACTTGAATTTCAAAAATTAAGAAGATCATATAAAGACTGGCATACCATATATGAATTAGAAAATACATGCTTCAACTTGTAGTTGATTTCTAGCTAATTGTCGGTAATTCAAATCCCTCTTTCCAAACATAATCCTAACCCTTTGTCCTAAAAGATTAGACTCTCGTTACGCATGTGCAAATATGTTTTTTTTAATCTAGATTTGCGAGGTGTGCTTAACAAATATAAGGAATGACTACAATACTTACATATATTTAATACAATTATCATCTAACTGTCAGATATAATACAAATATGTAATTTTCCGATGAGCTTAATTTGTTGTATATGCTTATTTATATTCGTGAATAAAAAGGTTCATTATCTGTGATCAAAGAAACAAAAAATGTTAATTTTCTTCCTTGCTGCTGAACGTACCATATGTCCCGAGATAGAGGTACTTGTTTCCAAAGACTCGTCCAATTCGAGCTTCCCATCGTCCGTTGTGATGATGTCTGTTCATTAATAAAATAAGAGCAAGGAAAATCAAAATTCAGTTTACCGAAAAATAAAACAAAAAAAATTCAGTTTAGTATAGTACTATATGCTATGTGTATCGGATTATACAAAATCGTTCAAGTAAATAGCCTTGATTTATACCTTGCAACACCTCTATACTTCGAAACTCCCCGAGAAAAACCACTGCTCTTCCTGCAAATATGATAAAGAAAATAATACCTCATTAATCAACAGTTGTTTATGATCCTCGAGTCTACTAACTTTAGATGTAGAAGCTTAATTACCTTCTCAATGATCCAATATATTCCTCTCTTGATTGACCTTCCATTTCTTTCAGTTCTTTTGGATATGTCGATACCTACAGCAATCGCAAGTGGGGTTATTTCTTAGTTTCTCCCTTGATTACTATTATGTAAGATCACTAAAAAATATATAATTGAGAAAATTAATTTACCGGAAAGTTAAGAATGGTATCTTGACCCCAGTACTTAAGAGCTGCTAAGTCATAAGCATGTGCTGCAGCTTCCTCATCATCATAGGCGCCTGAAAAAGGATGGAATGGATCAATATAATATATATATCAATCAAAATGATCTTTAACGATATTACATATAAAAAAATTGCACCTAAATTAAGTACGTAGTAGCAATTAAATTAAATAAAACCTACCAAGGTAGACTGCATTTGAGTGCAATTCCATTCCAAGCATTCAAAAGCGCCAAGACAAACAAAACCAAGATCGAAAGACGAAATGGTATAAGAAACCACATCAATAAATCAAGCATGCATATATAAAGTATAAAAGTCGACGTACGTCGATGAAAAGTTAAATTAAATTTATGGAGATGAGATTGTAAATACCTTGGCGGCCCTTCTTGTTTTGTGTTTCATTCCAGCAATTCTTATCCCACAAATGAGCCTCATATCGGCCAGTCCATCTGTGCCTGAATTGATAATCAAGCACGCAGCATACCCATGCCATTTAGGGGAAAAGGTCAATAATTAAGCAAAAGGAATTCATCCAGTAATTAAACATATATGCAAATATGATAAATTGGTTGATTGCGCAGGCAGTTAATTAATCACCTGGTGACCCCACGATAAATTGAGCTACGTTGAGGAGGGGAGTCCCTTGGGACACTTCTCCTTGTTCGTTTGACCTTTGTGACAGTAGTGTTATTAGCTGCAGTAGCATTAGTGTTATTGTTTGCATTGAGTTTCTGGTTTTGATGAGATAACTTTGCCATGAAACTAGTATTGTACGTCTCGATCGTTCAGTCGACCAAAAAAGAATAGTACGAGAAGCAAAAGATGAAGAAGGAATTCTAATTGTGATAATTAGTTAAGTTTGAGAGATTGATATGACTAAGTCCTCCAAGTAAGAGGCTTATAAAGGGATGTGAATAAGCATGCGGAGAGAGAGAGAGAGAGAGAGTGAGAGTGAGAGAGAGAGAAAAAGCCGGATTGGAAGAGTGTGATGAGCTGTGCCAATTCAGAGATTGCCGGCTGTGGAGGTTGGTTGTTTTGGCCGTCTTTAAACGGCTGTATCTCGTATCTTCTACCTTGTCCCACCCCTGACTTATATGTTATGTTCCATTGCCATCATATTTATTAAAATCTAAAAAGTATGCAGCCAATCTTGTCTTAATCAATAGGATGATCTCTCTCCCACCCTCTCTCTCTCTCAAGCGCACGCCGGTATGTAATTTGCTATGACAACTCACAAACAGAAATTACCATTTGCATGACGAATGTTTGTCCAATGAATCAATTCTCATCGGGCGAAATAAAACATTTAGTCAGGCAAACATGGTCACCGTTTTTTATTTTTCAGAGACTTTTGCTCGGCGAAAATCATTCGACAAGCAAGTAACCTTCGTCAAGCAAAGTTTTCACGCAACGGGGAAAAATTAGAAAGTATTATGCCACCTTTTGCGTGACGGAAAATAAGTTCGTCGGCGAAGGTAACTGTGGATGCAAATTTCAGCCGTCTTCTCTTTTGACGAAAATGCACCTGCAAAATAATAACACCTATGATTAAGGCCAAAAGCCTCACGTGCCCATGATGAATGGGGGGGGCTTTAGCTTAAGAATCTCTGATGTCAAAGTTAGAATTCTGAAAAGAATGTGTTTAGGAGTTTGTGGGTAGCAAATGGCTTAGCTTTATAGTGGGATAATATGACTATTTATAGGGGAGTGGCCGGCCCTATTTGGAGAATAGTGGCCGGCCATATATGGTGAAATTGTGTGAGTAATTGCAAAATATTATGTGAAATAATATCCGGCCCTATTTGGAGAATAATGGCCGGCCATATATGGTGAAATTGTGTGAGTAATTGCAAAATATTATGTGAAATAATATCTTGCAATTAATATGGCAATTAATCCTAAATTAAATAGGAAATTTGGGAGTTACCTTTTGAATAAGGATTTGATGAAGAGTGATGAGAGGGATTTGAATAAATACCATTTTGATGGATACTTAGGGCTGCTTTGAAGCCCTAGACATGATTGAATTAATGTTATGATGCAATTTTAGTTTATCAATTTCATTTGCAAGCTAGAATCAATTTTATGTCTCAATTATTTCAAGCACATATTTTCAACCTTAGCTACCTTGTTTATGTTTGGTTTCTGTTGAGAATGATAAGGATGACTGCCATATCTTCTTTCATTCATTAGCAACATGTGGTTAGGTTCAGAACTAATCATGTAAATTGATTCCATGAAGTGCTAGGATAAATGCCATGTTCTAGGGTTCATGTGATGTTCATAATCCTCTTCATTCTTAATGAGTTTCTAGGTGCTAAATATGAGTATATGCCATGCTAGGTTGCACCTACAAATATAAGTTTTATATATATGCCATGCATCTAACATGCAAATTAAGAGAGAATTCATACAATCTACTTATATGTCATGCTATATATGTGAACATCTTAGTTGTGCATTTGAAAGGGATAAAATATCATATCACTGATTCAGGAATGTTTAGGGGAAGGCCTTTATTTATTTGAAGTCAAATTTATGTCCTAAAAATGTTTCTAACCTATTCCATGTCTTAGGTTTGTTTTTAGATAGTTCTAATTTTTCCCTTTTCTTTCTGTCTTTATTTCTTTTCCAAAATTACTCAAACCCCCCATTTTAAGTCATATGAGTCTTTAACTAATGCTAATTTGTAAGATTCAAAGGTTTTACTAAGTTGTTTTGTAGTCCTTATGGTTCGATGCCCTTACTTGTGCCGCTATACTATCCTTATATTTGCACTTGAAAGGAACTTCAATAGAAGGATCGAATTACATTGTAATTCCAACTGAATAGGTTCTCCGACCAAATTCTACATTAGCTTAGGTAGCCATGATATATGGTTAGATGCCACTCATGGCTTATGGGTTCTTCTAGATGATTAAATAAGTAGTCATCAAAGAAGAAGGAGAATTAAAAGTAAGTTTTAATTCACTGAGTGATTGGATAAATACTAATCAATTTGATTGGTACCAATCACCTCACTACCTCGCTAATTAGAACCTAAAACGATTGTACACTGATACACTCTTGTGGTGAGACAACTAAAGGATGATGGAATTAATTAATTGGATTAATTAAGTGCTATGATGAATTAGAAAGTCTAAAGAAATCATAGAAGCGATGAAAGATTGTTTCGGGCTTAAAGAAAAGTTTAGGTTCATTCGGGCTTATCAGGCCCAAACCCATAGGGCTTTTAATTCAAGCATAGGATGACTTGAAATGATAAAGACCCAAAGTCCAAACCTACACTAAGGGGCCGGCCAAAGATGAGGAAAGAAGAGAGAAAAAGAGTCAATTGGTTGACTTACTTCTTTTACCTTTATAAAGAGAGTTGAATGAAAAAGTTTCATTAGGGCTTTTGTGTGTTTTTTTTCAACTAGAGAAAAACAAGCCTCTCTCTCTCTCTCCACACACACATAGCCGGCCACCAAGAGGGGAAATAGCTAATCATCTATTCTCCTTTTGGTTATTCCAACATCCATCTCACTACACTAGCAGATGTGGATCTTTAGAGGTCTTCTACTTTTAAGATTAGAGGAGAACCAAAGGAGTTCCAAATCTATCAAGGTAGAGGAAACAAGGAGGGAGGCTAGACTCAAGGAGTTCCAAGAACAAAGAGCTTGGAGGTGGTCCATCCTTGGTCTAAAGTATAGATCAAGAGGTATAAAACTCAACCTTCCCTTTGTTCTTCAATTTTTTGTTTGATGCATCATATATGAACCTATGCTTCTTGACGGGGATTTGCATGACTATAGCTTTGATAATATGTGATAATATGCTTCCGTTGCTTATGTATATAAATTTAGAATTGTATATGCATGCTAGGCACTAGAAATCCCATAGAAATCTCATTATTTCCCTTCAGCGACTTGATGTTGAATCGAACATCGTTACAAGTTTTAAGCTTGCAACAAAGTCTTCAAGGAATCGAAACAAGTGCTTGTTGATTCTTCAAGGGAATGCTTCGGCTTTGGTCCAAAGAAAGCTTCGGCTTTGGTTGTACGTTCTTTAAAAAGAGCTTTGGTAGCGTATTAGTCTTCAAAGATTTTGCAGAGGTTCTCCTTTGGTGAGAATTTTGGCTTCAATGTAGAAATTGTCCACCTTTATGCTTGTCTGAGGACCTTGTATTTATAGACTTCTGAAAGCTTTCCTTTGGATGGATTTGGATTTGATTTGTGCCTTGATTCGTCGATGAGAGAATTTAGGCATGTCTTGTGTCTTAATTTCAGCCACTTTCCCTTACCTTGGTCGAATTATAGGGCTTGTTACCTATTTTGTGAGCAATCTTCAATTCTTGCTTGTTTTATGAAGATGCTTTAGTTTTCTTTCTAGTTTTGAGATCAACTTGGACCCCTTGCCGATTTTAAGAGCGATTTTCTCCCTTTTTGCCGACTTTTGGGAACGTTTTGTGCTTCCTTTGCTTGATTTGTGCCACATGTCTTTAATGACTTATCTATTAGTTATGAGTCATATGCCACATGGAGCTTTGTGATGCATCATTTGTATGCAATGAAATTTACATGTCTACAAATGCCCCCACTTCAAGGAACATTGTAAGCATGTGCTTGTCACATATAGGAAACGTGTGTTTGGAGTCCTGCAATGTGAATGTTCTAACTCAAGGGTCATTGAGACTTGATCTTGAATTAGCTTGCTTCTTCAAGAGTCGTAGAGGCGTATTTCTTGAATTGACATGATGAATTTCTTTAAGGGTCGTTGAGGTTTGGTCTTGAATAAATGAAAACTTTCTTTAAAGGCCGTAAATGCTTGATCTTGAAAGAAATGAAAATTTTCTTCAAGGGCCGTAGATGCTTGATCTTAAAAGAAATGAAATTTTTCTTCAAGGGCCATAGAGGCTTGATCTTGAAAGCAATGAAACTTTTCTTGAAAGGCTGTAGAGGCTTAATCTTGAAAGAAATGAAATTTTGGAAATGGATAAATCAGCACATACTTATTGTGCGTATTGATTTTCCATAATTTTTGGCAAAATACATTTGGTGTATTTTGAGGCTTGATTTTTTTTTCCCTTGTGGTTGTGGTAAAAAATGTTTTTCCTTCCTTAGGTAGGAGTCCCTTCAATTTGGTAATGAGGGTGATTTCCTTCAAAGTGTTGGAAAGCTGTAATGCTTGTCCTTGGGTGAGTAGGATTTGCATTTTTTCCTTTCCATTTTATAACTTTTTCGGCCAAGGGGGTGTTTTCCCTCTTGGTTTGGGAAACTTGAAGACTTATCGTTGCTTTGGAGGGATTCCCTTTTGTATTTTGGCAAGGAAAGGTACTTTTCTTTGATGTTTTTGGAAATTTTAAAGCCCTTTCCTTATTTCTTTTCTTCGTTGATTTTGTTGCAAAAATAGCATGTTTTTTTTCCTTGTGCCGTACTCAGCTTGCCTTTTTTTTGCTTGGAATTTGCTTCCTTCTTTTGTTTGGAATGTCCTTCCTTCTTTTGATTTTCCTTTTTCTATTTGGTATGTATTCTCCCAATAGTATTAGGAAGCAATTGACCTTTATTTATAGGACAATTGGGTGTGTGTAATTTCCATTGTGCTTGCTGCTATGTCGTGCCTTATCGCTGCTTGCTGCCATGTGTAATTGCTACATGGAGCTTATTGCAGTGCGTCACTTTTTACCATCTGGTGCTGTGCAAAAGACTACAGCGAGGTTACGCTTTGTAGTGCCTTTTGGTCGTGGTTTTCCCTTGGTGGTGGTGTTGTCGTGCAGTGGAAGAAACTACTTAAGTAATCGTTGCGGGGTTGTGTAGTATGATTACGTAGTATTTTGGTTTTCTTTGCCACTGTAGCATGCTTTGAAGGAT